AATAATAATACTATATATATATATATATATATATATATATATATATATATATATGATCAATTTTCTATTATATAAAATCGTCCCATAAATTTGTCTATTGTACACTTTTCTGATCCAATTGCAATTATTGTATTTTTTTTTTAATCTATGATTTCATTTTTAGGCAGTATATAATCTGATATATAAGATATTTTGATTTTTTTTAATGAATACTCGAAGAAGCATTTCATAAAAATTTTGAGTAAAATATTCCAGTAACATTTTTTTTTTTGAACTTATTATATTTATTAAATCCTTCTCTTTATTAAAAATCAAAATACATGTAGCAATTTTATGAAATATTTCACGAATTTATAAGACGAGCTGATAATTCTATACTGATTAAAACTTTATTTCAATATCTAATCTTTAAAATCTCGGATCATTACTCCAAGTTTATCCCGAATTGGACGTAGGAAATTAAGATGTCCCCGGAATATGCTGCACATGCATTTGTTTGCTTCGTTCATGTTTCGTGCATTCATGGCATTGATGAAGGACATCTTATTTGTCTCCGGCATTGCCTTAGCCTCAGACGTGATGATAAAAAACGGGAAAACGTATTGGCTGGTTGATGAAAAAGAGAGCAGTTGGCTTTGTAAAATATTCACTAGCTTTTGGCAGTATTTCATTCTCGCCAACTATTTTTGGATATTAATGGAAGGTCTCTATTTGCATAATCTAGTCTTTCTAGCACTTTTCACCGATGTGAACTCGAGCATTGCTATCTACATTTGTCTTGGATGGGGTGAGTCTTGGTAAATAATTTCTGGCTTATTTTTTGAAGCTTCAGAAATGTTCGATTTAATTCTTTCAATAGTTCAATCATTAATTAATTATTAAATTTATTTGTTTTATTAATAAAAAAAATATTAATTTTTCTTTACAACTTATAAAGATTTCCAAATTAATATTAGTATATCAATATAAGTTGCTCTCATTTTTTGTCCGGTATTATACTGTTATGCATTTAAATTATTTCAATAAAATTAGCATATAAAGTAAAATGAAGTTATTATATATTTGTATTTTCAGGATTGCCAGCTCTATTTGTATTATGTTGGATTGTAGCGAGAGTAATACTTGAAAATAAGTATTGTTGGACCACTCATGAAAATTCCGAACTTTTTCTCTTGATTCGAGTTCCAACTATGCTCTCTATTTTGGTAAATAATAATAAAAATATTATAATATTAATTTTTTGAATAACAATTAAATAATATTATTCTTGAAAATTTCAATTTAATTTTCTAGTTTTTAAATTTTATTCGAATATTTCAACTTTTTGTTCTCAATATTTCTTTTCAAATTTCAAAAAAACTATTCCAATCATTAGAAATTATTTCAAATTCCACAGATCAACTTCGTGTTATTTATCAATATTGTTAGAGTGCTCTTGTTAAAGTTGAAATCCACAGTATCGGAAGAAACACAAAGATACAAGTAAGTTTCTTTATCTCTTTTATAAATTTGCAGTAATTTAATTGTATTTAACTTCGTTTGTTAAAAGTTCATATAAACTTAGATCATTTTGGTTAGAAGATAAATCATTTCGGCAATTATTTTTTCATTTATTAAAGTTATTCTGTTAAAAAGATTAGATTATTTTTCAGGAGGTGGGCAAAAAGTACTTTGGTTCTGGTACCATTATTTGGAGTTCATTATACTCTTTTTTTGGGCATGTCTTACAGTATTGGTGAAAATGAAATTGTTGAAATTGTGTGGCTCTTTTGTGATCAACTTTTCGCATCTTTCCAGGTATGAGATTCAATGTTTTCTTAATTATTTTCTTCAATTATATATATATATATATATATATATATATATATATATATATATATATATATA